CTCCACCTGTGTGCCTGGGGAAGGGTCTGCTTAACCTTCTAGACCCTTGTTCCCTCCGTGGGGAAGGAGAGCTAACCAATCCTACATGATACGTGAAGATGATTAAAGAACAGGATACACAAAAAGTACTTCCTTCCTAACACGCTCACTTGTCGGCTGTCATTTATCTTTGGGTGTCCTCAACCCCATCGATGGAGAGACTACCTCATAGGCAGTTCCAGGTGGTCATCTTTATGGGAGCCGATCACCAGCTCTGTCTCACTAGGTGGACTTGAACCAACAGCTTTTGGGTGACCAGAAAGGCCTTAACTGTAGCGCCACCAGGGTTCCTTTAACCTGTCAAGAAACCTTTATAAACTTCCTGCTGTTGTCCAGAGTCCCTACCTGGATGCTTTGGGCTACTCCGAGGACGGAGAAGACCAAGTCCATTCCCTGGAACCACTAATTGTCCAGGAGGGAAACTTGGATGAATGGCAATTTAATTAGGTGGAATTAAATGAACCAGCCCTACTTCAGAGACATCTGCTCCCGCAGACCAGACTATTAGAATCATGCCCTGTGTCTATCAGTTAGGGTTTCCAGGCTGATCTTCCCCGAGGGGACCTATCCACTGGTTTGTTGCTGGTTTTGAGACAGACATCAGACAGCCCTTTGTCCTGATACCAGCGAGACGGCAGGAGGCTTGGGTTTCTTTTTCCTTGCCTTGGAGCCCGTTCTCCTGTGTCCAGAGCCTTCTCCCTGGATCGAGGTTGGGGATCTTTGGAAAGGAACGCAATGCTTTTAGGTCATGGGGTTGCTATTTAGGGCACAATCGAAATATCTTATTGAAGAGCCAAAAGGCTTTGGAACATTAGCCTATTAATCTTTTAAAGCGGGAATGGAAATCCACACCATCTTGTCGCTCTGCTTGTCTGTTCATCTGGGAAGACTGCTGCGCTGAACATGTCATGCAGCGATGGGTCCACAATGCACTGTCACACACATCGCAAAGCGTGACATCCAGCAGGGTGTTTGGGGGCATCGTCATAGTGAGACACCTGCTAGAGGTCACTCACAACTATCGGATTTGCCGCTTTATAAGCCTGTCTTCTCCAGACTTAATGGCACTCTTTTGTGAAGGTTAAAAAAATAAATTAAAAAAAGAAGCTGATTATGTTCTCCTTCTTTATTTGGATCGGTGATTGATAATACCTGTGTGTTTGTCCATGAGACAGATGAGGCTTTTTATGCCTGTAACTCTCAGACACCCACGGGGGCAGTCCTACCCTGTCTTCCAGGGTTGCTATGAGACAGAATCAACTCAATGGCAGTGAGTTTTGTGTATGTTTACCCACAGAGAAGAGTCAAAGCAGCATTTCATAGACCAAGTGCCTGGATCAAGCAGGCATTGATTCAAAAAAGGGCATCTCTGAGCTACTTGAGTGGGTTCTATGGGGACCAGGTGGTTTTTCTAAATGGAGAAAACCTGTGAAGAGATGCTTAATTTCTCTGCCTGATTAGAAACTTCATAATTTTCCATTCATTTCTCGATGTTTAAAGGGGACATGTTTGTTCTGGTGCCTTCATGGATTCATCCACTTGAAGACATTAATTTACATGGGTGAAACAGAAAGCCAAATAGAGTGTCCCCATTCAGCATGACACTCGACATGTGTCAGCAGGGTACCAATGGGCAGGCATGCCTTTCTGTGGGGAGTCCAGGAGCTGGGTTTCAAAGAGACACACTTTTCACCATCCAGATCAGTGTGCTTGGGAGAGCGATGAAGAAACGTAGTTAAAGTGGAGATGATATTTTCTGCTTGAATGCATTTTAACATTTATAAGCAGACAGAAGGCTTCTTCAGTAAGTTACACACCACCGAGATGCCTATATTTCATTCGAGGTGGTAAGAAATAGAGCCCTCTGGGGGAAAAAAAAAAATAGAGCCCTCATTGAAGAAGCCCTGTGGACTCGGCGGGTCACGCGCTCACAGAGTTGTTACTGAATGCTGTCCAAGAGGGGGGTGGATCCCTTCACCATAGATCACAGCACGGGGAGAGACAGATGTAGGGTGGCCAAGGAGAGCAGAGAAGAGGCATCGTCTAACCTGACCAAAAGACCCAACTCCATGGACTAACTGTTGAAGACTGAGGAGGAGGTACCTAGGGGAAGATGGGAAAGAATCTTCCAGAAGACCCACTATACGCAAAAGCAGAGCGGCCTGAATCCATCGAACGCATGTGGAAACAATGAATCGCTCATCGTGCATAGAGCAGAGTGGCCGGGGGTAAAGGCGACAGAGGCAATTTGGAAAGGACTGTGTTTTAAGGAGAGGCCCTGGTAGCACGGTGATCAAGGGGCTTAGCTGCTAACCCAAAGGGTCATCTGTTTGACCCCACCATGAGAGGAAGATATGGCTGTCTGTTTTTGGAAAGGTGTTAGCCTCAGAGACCCTGTCCTACAGGGTTGCTATGAGTCGGCATTGATTTGAGGGCAATGGATTTGGGTTGGTTGGCATAGAAGGCTTCACTTTACTTTGACACTGAGTAGGCGGTATGTGGCATGATAGGATTTGCATTTTTATAGGAAAATGATGAGTGGAGCATCTGAGAGAGGCCAGAACACAGGCAGGAAGATAAATTGATATAAAACAGGAAAGAATTCAACCATGGCATGGGAGTGGGAAGGGAAGTAATGCAGGCCCTTTTACGCTATTTACAGGGCAGCATCTGCGGGGGGCGGCGGGGTGGGGTGGGGGGGGCGGCACAGAGACTAATTAGATGGCAACAAAGCATTCAGAATGAGCCTTCCATTTTAAATACAGTGATTAGGCGAGTAAGGAGCCACACCCTGCATAGGGAGCTGAAATGGAGGAAACAACTACTTGGCCACTAAAGTCAGAGCAGAGTTAGTGGACTGTCACTAGAGGACAGAGAAGGGCAAGACTAGAAGGATGGAAACAAGTTCAGAAGCAGTGAGGGAATAGGAGGTATGCAAAGACAAAACTATGATTATAAACATGATGTAATAATAGTCACTTTCCCTGCCAGCTAGTCAATTCCGACCCATAGTGAGCAACCCTACAGGCACTGTCCCCTGGTTGGTGGTTTCGAACTGCTAACCTTCTGGTTGGCAACCCAATTTGTAACCTCTTACAACATCAGACAGGGCTCCTTAATAATTACTAACTGATACCTTGTATTAACCATCTGCTCAGTACTAAATGCCATGCTAGGTGTTTTGCACACTTTACCTCTAAGCCTCATATCAACCCCCACAGAGTAGGAATTCTGTATCTTCATTTTACTAATAAGGGGAAAAAACCCAAAGATTTGATGTACTTTTCCCAGTCAGCTAATACCAAGATTTGAAATCCGGTTATTGGATGCTAAAGGATGTGTTTTTTCCATCCATATGGACTTTACAGCATCTACCTGGATGGGAGGGTGTGCACAAGAGTTAAGACTGCTCACCACCCACCCTCCTCTTTAGCACCCTAAGTACACTGTCTTCAACACGCTGAAACGACGCCACTCACAGACTTGTTATTTCCACTGTGACATCACCCGTTGGGGAAACATATCTTCACCTTATCATGTTTCCTTTATGTCTTATTTGATTCTGGTTTTCATTCACTCCTTCTATCATCAAATACCTTAGTGAGAAAGGGGGAGGGGATGAACCTATTTTTATAGGCCCGTGGAGCTTATTAGAAGTGAAAACTCTCCTACTGCAGCGCAAACTCACTGAAGCAAAGACTCCGGGGTGAGGAGGGCAGCAATCTGTATTTTAGCAAGCCCTCCAGTTGATTCTGATACCGGCTGAGGTTTGAGAACTCATGGGAACTAGGGAGGGAGGTAAAGATTTGGTACATGACAGGCGATGTGTGCAGGGATGCGAGCTCCATCAGGGTGAACCCAGGTGTCAGGCTTAGCACCTCGTGACAAAAAGAACTGCTACTAAGGATGGTGCATAGGGACACTTTGAGAAACTACAACATCTTACGTTTCTTTTGATGCCAATTCTCATTCTACACATGCATTTGAGCAGACCCATTCGATATATCGTCTTACTCTGCAGAGCACATAAGCAGAGTGAGCACAGATTGTAAAATCCCACAAAATGGATGCATCGGGCTTCAGATAAATCCAAAGATTTCTCACTCTGGGATCAGCAGTCATCCCAACAGAATCACATCCAGACAACACTGATGCTTTGCCCCTTTCCCCCACCTTTCAAATTGCAAGAAGGTGACACAAACTTTGGGTATGAAGTGAAGACAGTGTTCACCCCATGGATTATTCTCAGGAGGCAATGACAAGGCTAGGAAGGGCTTTGGAATGGGCCAACCCACCCATCACCTATGCAAACAGGTTCCTAACACAGGAGAGCCTCTTCCCTGGAAGCCCAGCCATCACCAGCATTGTGATAAAGTTACTACCTTCATTTCATGTTCTCGAGTAGGAGAAGGAATTTGTGTAGAAAGCAATAGCCAAGCCAAAGCGGCTCTAATAACGTCCAGGGCTGGTAGCAATGTGTGTTAGAACCCAAACTCGTTGCTAAGTTAATTCTGACTCCTGTATGGCCAAGTAGAGCTGGACTCCCTAAGGTGTTTCATGGCTCTTATGGAAACAGAGTGCTAGAATTTTCTTCCAGGTACCTCCGAGGAGACACACACTGCCAACCTTTGAGTTCGTAAGCCAGCACTTAATCATCTGTGCCACGCAAGGATTCTATTCTATTAGAATTGGCTCAAAACAAACCAAAACAAAGCCCATCTTCAACCCCTGCCACCCCTGGGATCTGCCGAGTGGGGAGAAGTCCCAGGAAGACAGAGAGAGCCATTTGCATCTTTGCCTCTTTTGAGGCTATCCCAAAATGCGATTTTGAGATGTGCACGGCAGCCGGTTTTCCCATGTGACAAAGGCCCACCTCTCCCAGCTTGTAGCTCCTTGTCATTGTTGGGTGGCACAAGCCTCCAGACCAAGCACACGTTGTCGAGACAGAGCATGCGACTCACCTGCTCATGAACTTGTACCGGCGGGGCAGGTAATAGATTTTTCTCCTGGAAGAACAGCAAAAATGAAGCCAGTCGAGAAGAAAACCCATCGTCAGTAACAGTTTGAACTAGCAAGGAAGGAAAGGAGATTGAAGATAGAAGCCTGTAAGAGGTGAAGAAGAAAAAACTAAAAAGAGATTAACAGTGGGAAACGTAGTGGGAGTGCAGCGCATCGCTTCTGAGTTCCGAAATCGTACGGCACTGCGCCCAAGGAGAGCGCCTCGGAGCCTCCACGTGACCCTCGTTTATGTCTGGGGGTGTCTCGCCTACAAACCATGTGACAGTGATGAGTTGCACCAACTGGTGTTTTCAGGGATTCAGGGGAGGTCAGCTCTTCTTCAGGGACATGCAGACGTGGATGTGGATGGCAGCACGCACAAGGTAACGGGCAAGCTACTACCTTAACTGATATTTAGAGCACTGCAAGTTCACAAAAACACACTCATCACATTGGGTAGAAGGCAGTGGGCATTTAAATGTCTATTTTGTTTATGACTTGAATGGGAAGGAACGTGGTCAGCATCAAGATCCAGCTGTAAAGAGTCACACTGGTGCAGGCAGCTTAAGCAATGGCCCTGAGGAGAGGGGACTGAAACAGGAGGGTGGGCGGGGAACCAGGGAATCCTGCGGAGACATGACTTAGGGCAGACTGAATCAGTATTTGTCATGTTGCTACATATCTTCAATTTTTAAAAATACTGAAAATGCAAATTGGTAACTAGCTGGAATGGAGAGCACCTGTGATAGATGCTTTATTCAAATGCCATCTCCATTTCCACCTTCGGCTTCAATGAATGGCATGGCCGGCAAACTGATGCGGCTTCTGTGTCTCCTGAATTGTTACTGAGCTGCCATCTCACTTGTAGAAAGCAGAAAGTGTACACCCTTCAACAGATTTTGCATATTTGTGCAAATTTAAAAGCCTTTATCCATAGAGAGCTAGGTACTAAAGATGCAGCTTTTATTCAAATTTCCAGCAATAAGAGCAGCCTGAACCTCAATGTTCTTTTAAACACTGCAGGGATAATAAACAAATAAATAAACAGTAAATAAATAGATAATAAATGGAGAGTAAACCTGGGATTCTAAAGTGCTGTCTCTAGTAAATAACAAACAGGGGAAGATTTGGGGGATAAGATTTAAGATTTTGCCAAACAGATGCTTGGAGATATATATATATATATATATATATTTTTTTTTTTTTAATGATACTGTGGGAGGTTCCTCCTTTGGACATGCGCATTGCTCCTTGGGGCTAGCGCTGTTTGCCCCCAATATGGGCTAGGTGATAGCACACATTTTAAATGCATCAGGTTGCAATAAGTAAAGCTATGCGTAAGCACAGGTAACAATCACATCCATATTAATGAGGCCAATTAGTGTCACACATTAATGATAAGCCCTCCTGAACCTGCTGTCCTGCAGGAATCGCTAGATATTAAAAGGAGATTATTATTCAGTTAATACAGTTTTCATTTTTGTTTCTTGTGCTCCAACGACAGCAAAACAAAACCCAGCCATGACTCCCAGTCAGTTCTGACTCCTCGTAGCACTGGAGGGCAGCGTGGGACTGCCCCACGGCGTTTCCAGGTCTGTAATCTTTACGGAAGCACTGCCACGTCGTTCATTTGAGGAGTGGCTGGTGTATTCGAACTGCCAACCTTTCAGTTAGCAGCTTCAGTTACTCTGGCACTACCAGGGCTTCTCAATGCTTTGGAAGTCAACCCACTAACACTGTTTGGAGGCAGGCCGTCACTGTGATGTAATGGGCTTGCAGAGCGGTTATCCATGGTATGGCTGGCTCCTTCCAGGTATGAAGGGAACTGGACCTGTATTAAGACTCTGTAATTTGTTTGGGTTCTTTGCTAGAGAAGTATGCTCTCATGGCAGAAAGTTTTGTGATATTTCTATTGCAATATTTCTCAATTTTAGGAAGTATCTATCAAATTTAGTAATTCACTACCTAACTTTTATCAAAAGGGAGACTTTTGGCTCTGTTGGCTCTATCTATCTAAGTCTACATTGTAATCGTTTCCCTTTGGTTCTGATATATCAAATAGTTAACAATGTATTATAATTCATTATAATTAATTTATATTATATTGTAATCCAATTCATATTAGACTTTATATCATTAGAAATGACTAGCTATAATTAATTTGGATCATATTATCACCATTTAGAGGAGCCCTGGTGGCATAGCAGATTGGGCTGAAAACCACAAGATCAGCAGTTCGAGACCACCAGCCATTCCACGAGAAAGAGAAGCCTTTCTACTCCTGTAAAGAGTTCCTGTCTCAGAAACCCACAATGGCAGTTCTACACTGTCATACTGGGTCATTCTGAGTCGACATCAATTCAATGACAGTGAGAGTTTGAGTATCACAATTTTAAATACAAACCAAAATTGATATTTCTTCTCTTTTGTAATGGTTTTATATGTGTGTGTGTGTGTGTGTGTATTCTTTGAAGTCTCAGATTTCTCTTTTAACATTTGAACTACAAAAATAATATAATATCAGAACTATTTTGAGAAGTTTGCCTTGAGGCAAACAGATGCAGGAAATCCTAGTCTCAATTTTTGCTTGGTGTTAGGGCATAAAGGCCAATAAACAAGGAAAATAAGACATCAGGGAGACAAGTTACAGGACTCTGAATGGAAACCGCCCTACTCTCAACGCGTCCTCAGCCCCTCTTTCTGTCTCTGTAAATGTAGTGGGTTCTTTTGTCCCTAGACCTTCCCTTGCTCATTAAGAGCTAAATATTAGAAATGGCGGAGCAGTTTGCCTGGCGCCTGTCTTTGGACTTGCTCTTATAAGCAAGCAATGGCAAATGAAAATGATTCTATCCCCCTTTCCCTTTGGAAATGTCCTGGGCTATTAAACCATCCTCCTTCTTGTAGGAAATTCCATTTGGATCCCCTCTCACAACTTGGCATTTTATCATTTCAACCCTTTGTTGTATATTGAGCAAATGACTATCCCCTGTTCTTCTGCCATGGGGAAAATGAGAATATTCGTCTGAAGGAAAGGTGAATGAATCATCTTGAATCACTAAGCAGATCACATCAAGGGTTTCCTGTTTCTACTGGAATACCTATCAGTTTATGCTTACACATATTTAGGGCTTTTGTGGTTAAAATTTAAAAATAGGTCACATTTTCATAAAAGTTCTTGCACTTGTTCCTATGGAAGGGGGATTTCACTGTTTTTCTGTCCCCTGCTCCACCCCCCACCCCCACACAATGAATGCTGGCCTTAGAAGAGGACTGGCAATAAGAAACATACTTTCTTGAATCATGGTGACCTGTAGTCTGGCTGTTCACAGCAGAAGTACATAAGGCTTCTAAAAATGGCCCCCACTGGAAGTGAACGTTCCACTTGGAAAATGCTTCTTGCTCGTGGGCACTTGACATATCTCCCTGCTAAGGACCAGATTAGCTAGACATTTTTCACACAAAAGCCATGAAATCACTATTGGCCACGAAGGCATATTTGCATTTTCTAAATACTGGAATGGTTTTCTTCCCTAATAGCTTGCCAGCCTACATTTCCACGTTATTGGTTCTGAGGGAGGGGAGTGCATTAGGTGTGCAGGGAAGCAGCAGGGGGGAGGGGGGGTGGAGACATTCACACCTACCTGAAAGGCATTCTTACATTCATTTGTTCTGCATATCTTCCAAGGACTTCCCATGGGGCATGTAACTTCACAAAGATAATGTCACTATTGATTACAGAAGACTGAAACAGAAAAAATAAACTGTGTTGAAAAGTACATCTGAGTCTGCTATGGTTTAAATTGAGTTGGAACTTAGAACGCATGAACTTTTACCACATTGAAGATTTAAATTGAGTTGTATTACTATTTACACAAAAATTCAACTTGGTGCCCCAGCCGGGGAGGATACATTTATGCCACAGGGAACTTGTTTTTAAGTGGCAAAGGTTTCAGAAGGGTTTTATTTTGTTATGTTTAATGAGGACATACCACAACAGGCTGGGCACTAGACCGAATCACTTCTGAGTGGTGTCTTATAAAAAGAGCAGAACAGACACAAAGACACACACACACACACACACACACACACACACATACACACACACACACAGACAGGTGTCATATGAAAAGTGCTTACAGGTAAAGAGGCTATGGATTTCAGACACCAAACAGAGGCCCGCAGAAGGAACTGGCTCCGCAGAGACCATGCTTCGGAACGTGAGAAAATGAAGTTCTGCTCTTTAAAGTCACCCACTTGCGGCGTGTGTTTCGTTGTTGCTGTTACTGCAGCACTGGGTAGGAAACTGGGACATTCAGCAATAAGCCAGACCCTTCACCCAACAAATGCATCACTGTGTGCCAGGCCCTGAAGACTCAGCTGTGAGCCAGACAGATAGAAACAATGCATACTCTTAAGAATATGCTTTAAAGAAGACACAGGTATAAACAAGTTAAAAAGAGGGATAAATTCAGATTGTGACAAGTGTTCTAAGAGTAGCACGATCCCTGGAGAAGAGTTCTAGGGAGAGGGGCACATAGTACTTTGGAGAAGAGAGGAGGGAATGTTTCTCCGTGGAGATGATAGCTAAGAAAGAGAAGGATCGAGCCACATTAAGTAGGGGATAAGTGTTCAGTATGCTTGAGGCGTGGCCGGTGGATTAGCCTGGCTAAGTGCGGCATGAGAGACTGAGCTCTTTTCAGACCTCAGTAAGGCAGATGGACGTGCCTTGAGGAACACCGGGGAGCCATTCTGGCTTATGTAAGCATCTCCAGTTCCCGCTAGCTGCAGTGCACAGGCAGAAATGATGTCCTACTCATTCAGCCAGAGAGAAGGAATGTTCTAGAACAGCTCCGGGCATGGAGGAAGCAGACGACCAACACTCTGGTGAAAGTACCAAGTGAGTGCTGCGGGAAAGCAGAGAGATGGACAGATGTTCTTTTTATTTTCCTTAATCATTTCATCGGGGGCGCTTACAGATCTTATAACAATCCATCATTCAATTGTATCAAGTACATATGTCACCATCGTCATTTCCCCAAACATTTTCTTTCTACTTGAGCCCTTGGTATTAGCTCCTCTTTTTATCCCTCCAACCCCCCACCCTCATGAATCCTTGACCAATTATATGTTATTATTTCATATCTTACACCATCCATTGTCTCCCTTCACCCTCATTTCTATTATTCATCCCTCTGGGGATGGGGTGGGTGATATATCCAACCCTGTGATCAGTTCCCCCTTTCTACCTCTCCCCACCACCCTCTATCTACCCTCATGGTCTCGCTACTCCCAGTACTGTTCCTGAGGAGTTTATCTGGACAGATGCTCTTGTAGTAATTCTAGCCAAACCTCTGTTTCCTCCTTCTTTTTAAAATCAGCACACAACTAGGCAGTGAAGTAAAACTAGAATTTCACACTCTGATCTCCACCAAATGAGTTTTGTCTATGACTTCTCTCGCCAGTTAACCCACTGCCATTGAGTCAATTCTACCTCATATCCACCCTACAAGACAGAGTAGACGGCACCATAGGCTTCCATGAATGTCAGTCTTTACAGGAGCAGGCAGCCTCACATTCCCTCTGTGGAGTACTGCTGGCTGGTGGGTTTGAACTGTCCACCTTGAAGTTAGCAGCCCAATGCTTAACCCAGAGCTCTTTAAACTCCAATTAAGAAAACCCAATTGGTTGTATAAAACTTTTACCAAAAACACAATAAAAAATATTTTTATTAATATGGTGGGCGGGGGAGGGGAGCAAGATCTTTCTCCAGAAGGGGCCTCCCAGAAGGAACGTGGATTGTGGTGGAAGGTAGAAAGAAAGGTGAGAAAATAGAGGGCTGAGCCCTTTTATATTATATTACTAAAGTTGCCGATAATCTCTCCGTATGTTTCTCATACAGAGTCCCTCTGCTTTCTAACTTGGAAGACTGCACACACCATACACTGAAAAGCAAGGGAAAGTCTTTTCTAAAGCACAAAACATGCTCGGCAGGTAAGAAGCAGGATCATGTCACATGATAAGAAATCAGTGTGTGGCTAATATACTTCGTGGTAAACTGAAAGGTTGGTGGTTAAAGTCTACCCAGAGGCCCCTGGAGAGAAGGGGGTGGCCATCTCCTTCCAAACACAGCCATTGAAAATGCTTTGGATGGCAGTTCTCTTCGAACACGGGTGGGGGTCCCCCAGAGTTGGAATGAACTTGATCGTCACTGGAATGCAATCGAGTCTTGGAATGCAGGCAAAATGAGCACTCCCCGTGGGTCCAGTCCATGACCTCCCCACAGACCCACTTTGCCATTCCAGACAGAGTGCCAGAGCTGACCACCCAGGAACCATTCCACCAGGCTGTTTCAAGGCAGAGCTTGTGGGTGAGCCATGGAGGGGCAGTTCCCTGGAGCCTGCAGCCAGCACAGCTGTTCCTGTCCTGTCTTGCTGACCTTCCTACCTTTCAAAACCAACAAAGAAAAAACTACTGTAATCCAGTCGATGGTGACTCACAGCCAGCCCTACAGTTACAGAACCCTTGCTTGTTAGGAGGGGGCAGTGCCGGCCCAACCCTGCCCCTCTCCGCGTTGCCCAAGGTGACAAGTGATACTGCAGCTCAGTAAGTAACCTTTCCTTACTCTCCCAGAGTGACTCCTGTCTGTCTGTTTGGGCGGGGGCAGGGGCAGGGTCTACGGGGGAGATGGGTGGTACACTAGGCACCCAGTAATTGGGAAGGACCGGCATCTCCTCACAGGGTTTACATGCACCATTGCTCTTCAATCTTCCTGAGAGAGGCAGAGAGAGAGAGAGACACGTGGTGTGGGACAGGAAGATAATGTTTGGGGATTCTCCATGCCATGACTGTGATTGCTCATTTTAGCGGCGATCATCTCTTGGAAGAAGAGTCATTTTGTAGCCCCCTCACGAAGGGATGACATGTCAATGAAAACCCATTAAAACATTCCACAGAGGGCATGTGGAAAATGCCCCCGTGCTGTGGGTGAAAAGGCAGCTCATTATCTGAGCGCACGCAGCGTCTCCTACTGTTCTGATGGGCGGTTCTCCACATTGTCTGCAGGAAATCTCGGCTGTTTTGATCCATTCGTGATAATAACAAACTGTATCTTATATGATTACTGTATTATCATAATACAGTACTTATAATAACAAACTATATCTTATAATTAGTATCTTCAATAATACGAATAAAGTCATGGCTGTATGTTGGTCATGTGGTTGGGAATCTTCAAAGCATTTTGTGCACATTAGCTCATAAATTCTCACACACACACTGCGAGAGGACTTCCCAGAGGAAGAGAGAGAAAGAGAGAGGTCAAGTGATTCACTCACAGTCCAACCAACGGAGAATCTGTCACCGACAGAGCGGACTCCAGGGCTGCAGCCGTGAACTCCCTCATCAATTTCATCTAATCAACTGGAGTATAAATAAACCCATGGCTTCGCTTAAGGTGCATATACAGACATCTCGGTTACCATGACCACCCTATTGCTTTTTTCTAGTAAACTAATCATCAAGAAGGAATTCATATTTTATGAAAGAGAGCAAGAAAAACCAAGAGGCATTCCTTACTGTAGAAGAGAATTAAGCCACCGATGAACTGGGAGTTAAAGTAAGTAAGGCTATGCTAACGTGGGTCATCATGAAAAGACTGTCCCCTGAGCTCCCATGATGACGGATGTCTGTTCCTGAGTCATCGTGTGTGTGTGTGTGTGTGTGTGTGTGTGTGTGTGTGT